CCCTAAAGCTTGGAAGGGCAGGGATTGGGGTATTGCTCATATCCCTGAGCGGCTACAAGCTATGGTATGCCCTTCAGCTTCACTTTTGAGCTACTAACAATGTCACCGTGTATGAAGTGCTCCTCCATGGAATACGTGCAGCGATCGCCCTTGGGGCATGCTGCCTTAGCTCTATGTCTAGGGGGATTCTGAGCCGATGATCAACAGGTAATAATGAAGGAGTCATCCTGCTAGGATGAGAAGATGGAGGCTTACTACAGGGAGATCCATAAGCTGGAAGGAAAATTTGATAGAATCAAACTCCATCACATCCTTCGACGCGACAAAGAGGAAGCAGACGCCCTTGCAAAGTTCTCATCCACCCAAGGTAGACCTCCGCTTGGCGTCATTCTGGACGTCCTCGATAACCCCTCGATCTGACTCGAGGGGAAGGGCGAGCCCGACCATTTGCCGACTAGCGTCGTGAATAGCCTGGTCGACCAAATGGCAAACGGGCCAACGAAGGCCTCGTCAACCAAGCGAATGGTCAACCAAGCCTGGAGGCTGAGGTATTGATGGTCACCACAAGAAGCCGCTGTTGTTCTAACGCCTCCCTAGGTGCTCCTGGCGACCCCTCGACCCGACTCGAGGAGGGAGCTGAACCTAGCCAGACGCTGCCTGACCCCGCGGATGAGATGGCCGACCGAGCGGCGGGTGGTCCCAAGGAGGGAATGCCCGCGCGTATGGCTCGTCTGACCCATAGGACAGGGGAGCGGATGGCGAATACAGCTGGATCACCCCCTTCCTCGACTACCTCAACCGAGGGATCCTTCCGGAGGATCCCACCGAGGCCGACGCCTAGTTTGTCGGGCAAAAAGCTATAAGATCATTGAGGGACAACTGACAGAGCACCTAGGGGGTCCCCCTCATGTGTGTCCCTGCTAGCGAGGGGAAGGCTCTGCTCTATGACATCCACGCTGGTATCTGTGGGCACCACGCCGCTTCGAGGACTTTGGTCGGCAAGGTGTTCTGGTACGGTTTTTACTAGTACAAAAATACTTATATAAAAAAGTGTTGGCGGCAATCATATATATAAGGATCATATAACCATTACTTAGGGTAACTATAAATGCAAATAAATCTACTAATAAGGTGTCACAGAAGCTAGTGGCTCATCTACAAAGTTATCGAAACACTTGGTAAAGAAAAAGATATAGAAAAAAAAACGAGAGATATAAAAGATAAAAATATAAAAAAGGAAGGTGGGACGAAAGGACGCACCGATCCATGGCACAAAGAGGCCTATATATAGGGCTCACCTGCCCACAGTACTAGTACCCTTCACAACCCAGGAAGAAGTGCACCTTCCCCGTGTACCGAGCAGTCACGCTGCACGCTCTGTGTCTCCCGTTGCACGCGCAACGGCTGACATAGGCGGAGCTTAGCTTGTGGGCAGGAGTGCTATGAACGAAGCTCAGGTGTTCTTCTTGGGCATGGCGTACGGGCAGTACCTCGCCGGCGGCGTGGGCGCGCCCCCCGGCGGTGGCGGCGAGGACCCGAACCGTCCGTGGCGCCCCATGTCGTCGCACGAGGCGGACGCCGTCCCGGCGGCAGCGCAGCAGCGCAAGAAGAAGGCGGCGTCCCGCAACCGCAGCAGGAACGAGTCCGGGGACGGGCCTCACCCCTGCCCCGTCTGTGACCGCCGCTTCGACTGCCGCAAGGCAGTGCACGGGCACCAGCGCAGCCACCCGGAGCGCGCCTGGCGCGGCATGGCGCCGCCGGCCGAGCCGCCGGTGGTCGCCGTGACCGCCGACGGGAGGCAGCTGCGCTACGCGTGCGAGAGCTGCGGGGCCCAGTTCGAGACCCGCCAGGCGCTCGGCGGCCACCGCGCCAGCCACAACGGCAGGCTCGGCTGCTACTGGCTCTCCAGGCAGCACCAGGACGGGCCGGCGCAGCAGGTCGTCATGCCCTTCGATCTGAACGAACCGCCACCGGAGCAGCAGCAGGACGATGAGGACAAGGAGAAGGAGAAGGAGGAGTAGGAGCAGCTAGGGCTCGTGCTTGCGTCTTAATCTAGATAGATATCGTTCGCTTGCTAGTTAATCCCCTCATTGCATGCATGTAAGCTCGATCGACCGATTTAACAAAAGAACGCAAGCTATTATGAATAATAATACATGTTCGTGGTGTTTCGGTCTTCTCTTGATCGAGAGCTAGCTAGAGAGCTTGCGAGCTAGAAGAAGGACGGTGTACATTCCTCGAGCTGATCGAGGATTCACCTTCTTATTATCTCATCATGCGCATGCAGCTTTAATTTTGAGCCCATTCTAGTTTGTTCTAGGTAGATCTTGTTCTTTCAAAACATTCAGATTCCGTCCTGTATCTCCATGAGCGTTCTGCAGGGCTGCAGATCTCTCTGCTAGCTGCTTCAAGAGAAGGATTATTCATCTGTGATGATGGCGAGCGATTTATTAATTAAGGGTGTGTTTGGGACCATAGCGGGACGGGCCGCGTGCTGCGGTAACGGTACCGTGGCCTGCCGCCCCGTGGCACGGGCGTGTTTGGCACCACAGCGGGACGGGCTGCGTGGTGCGGTAACGGTACCATGGCCGGCCTCCTGCCCGTACCATGGAAAACGTGAGTCGTCCAGGTTCATTCTTGCGGTGAATGTGTCTCGCGCGGTGAAAAGAATCAACGATTCTTGAGAGGTGTTTTGGTGGGATTATTTCGATGCTCGTGGTGGGGCAACCGCAGACCTGATTATAAACCGAAACAAACACGTAGTAAGCATGGCGACCACTGTGTATTTATGGCATGCATGTTGTTGCAACTCATGGATCAGCAAAAATCTCCCTATAATTATGTAGATGATCGAAGTGATTATCTGATGCCCTAAACTATAAGTGCAAAAGATTGATCGTGCACAGAATTGGGTTCTTGATCCTACTCATCAGTGAAGAAAGCTCCGCGCAGTATAATTGTTTTTCCTGCTTTGTTTCTTCAACAAGTGTATGTTGAAAGTTGTGTTCCTGCTAGAGCAAACATTAAGAGAGAGAGAGAGAAACACGTAGCTAGACTTGTTAGGAAACATACATTTATAGTAGTAATTGCCTCTAATCCATATGCATGTATTGGGAGGGATTATTGAAAGAGAAATTAGTTAATTTTCCACTCCCGTCCTGTCTAGTCATCTCCATGTATTGTATTGTTGGAAGAAATCGAATGGTTTTACTTTTACCCTAGTAGCTATTAATTTGGGCGACGATTGGATGAATCCAAAGCTAAAACAAAAAGGTCCTTGGATATGCATGATCATTATATAAATATTGATTCCAAGCAAGTTCTGGATACCATCTTCACTAATTTCATGTTTCGCAGGCCTAGCTAACTTTTAATGGTAGTGTGCACCGTCGTCCAAATAAAAAAGTGGTGTTATCAAGCAAAAGCGGTGCAACTGAACCCTTGTTTTCATACGAAACCGCCGGTTCCCCAGCAGCCCTTTCATGAGAAAGCAGCAGGGTGTGCATGTAGGAGTTTTCGGTCTTCCTCAGAAAAAGCTTAGGGATAGATCGAGTAACGTTAACAAGCTAGCTTCTGCATGCGTATGTGATGTCACACTTTTTTGTTGCTATAGTGTGTGATCACTGGTTACGGAAAGTGTTTATATATTATTTATGTCCTCACTAGAACTAAATTAAATAAGCGACGATGCTTAATAAAAAATGATTATGTGTGTAATAAGTTTGATCTGGAATAACTTATAATATGATCCAACGTTCACCCCTTAAATAAGCGACTGCTGCCAATGTTTTTTCTCGCCTTCAATTCATTATGGCTGCTTCTTACAAACAATAAGCTAGTTCTCCGTATATACACGCATGCATGCTACATGCATACGTAAAGAGAGGGCTGACATGTGCATTTGACTGACCTTTGCTACTACGTGCGCACTAAAAGCCAGTGCAAAAACAAGGACAGGACTAGGAAAGATGCCATTAGCTAGGCATGGGATTCCACTAGTAGTAATGCTCTTTTGGCTTTAATAATTATTTATTTCTCTCCCGGTTTGGAACTAACCTTTTGTTTCATTCGATCGGGCAAGCTAAGTGATCTGCAAGGGACATGCAGTCATCAACTACGTACACGCAAGCTTAAGCTTCGGGAAGGATACATAGATAGATAGATATAAATATAGATATAAATATAAATTTATTTTCTTCCCCTTGAGTTGGCTTGACCAGATGTAGAAAGTAGAGCCATGTGACACTACTAGAGGCCGCGGGCAAAGAGCCCTTTGCACTCGGCAAAGGCTTTGCCGAGTGTAGCACTCGGCAAAGTCCGCTCGGCAAAATTTTTCTCGACAAAGGGTCTTTGCCGAGTGTTTTTTATCGGGGCACTCGGCAAAATATAAAAAAATTCTGCCGAGTGCTTGGGATGGCACTCGGCAAAATATTTTCGGCCGTTGCGGCGCCGGCCATTAACGGTTATTTTGCCGAGTGCCCGACCCAGCATTCGGCAAAAAAAATTATTTTTTTTCAAAAATTACTTTGCCGAGTGCCCCAGCCCAGGCACTTGGCAAAGTTTTTTTTAAAGTACTTTGTCGAGTGCCCCTGCCCAGGCACTCGGCAAAGTTTTTTTTATTTTTTTTTTAAATTACTTTGCCGAGTGCCCTTTCCCAGGCACTCGGCAAAGTTTTTTTTTAAATAATTTCTTTGCCGAGTGCCCCTGTTTAGGCACTCGGCAAAGAATTTCTGAATTTTTTTTTAAAAAAATACTTTGCCGAGTGCCACGGCGAGGCACTCGACAAAAAAAAAATTTGAAAAATCTTTGCCGAGTGCCTTGCCCATGGCACTCGGCAAAGACCCCGAGAATTGCAAATTTTTTTTACATTCCATTGTAACAGACAATATATATATATATATTATATATATATATACATCAATCATCACATATATATCACAAGCACACGCATATTTAATAAATCCATCAAAAATCCATCACAAATGCACCAAAGTTCAACATCACTGTGTCACGCCGAGCCACTTTGTGAAGTTCTCAAACTCGGTGTAGTCACTGTCTGAGATCATGGTCTTGTACCATGCCTTGCCTGCAGCCTTTACCTTGGCAGTCTCCTCCTACAACAAACCAACATGTAATGTTAGGTACATGGTTATCAACAAAACAAATGATGTTTCTGATATATACAGAGTGAATCAACAGCGATAGGATCAATCATGTCTTTTCAAGTGCTGACTGAAACAAATAATCTAAATTCTGAACAAGACTGACCATACACAAATATAGGACTATGCAGTCAAACAAATTTGGCCAGATGGCACTAGGATGTGGGGTATTTCAGGAAATTTGGGGAATAATTTAAACCATCATATAGCATTCATTGTAATAACCAACATTCCAAATGATTAAAATATTAATCTCAATCACATAGTAGTGATGTCCAAATGTCACTAGTTCAAAGCAAAAACTCAGCAGGTAACAAGAGCTATCAAACTAATATGTTCAACAGAAACAACCGCCATGCTTAGAATGGTTACACATTTAGATCACCCAAAGCCAAGAGTGATCACAAAATATTTCCAAGAGTAGGACAATAGTATATTACTAGCATTTCTCCAGCCATCTAAAGAAACATAATACAAGTAACACAAAATGCCTAACAAAACTTAACATGGACAACAAACACACTGAGCTAGTAAATTATCTATCAATTGTACAGTACAGAACAACATAGAGTAATTCTGGATACAACATTAAACCAATACACATGACTAGACTCACAGAACCACTACTGCAAAAGCATATGAAATGGACTAATTCATGTGTGGTGTTCTGTAACTAGTTAACGCAAAGCATGGCATAATTTGCAACATTATCACAAATGTGCTACAGCAAACAGGTTAAAGCTACACACCAGTATTGACTAGACAGCAGATAGAACAGAAACTGTACTAGGCCTCACCAGTAATAATCAAACCACAAACTATTGAACTAAAAAGATCCCATCTAAGTTAACAAATCCAGTACTCATAACAGAAATGTAAGAGAGCAAATTATCATACCGGGCTAAGCTTGGTCCTCTTGGAGTCGAGCTTCTCCTTCCGGGCCTTGACACGGGCAGCCTCAGCAAGGGTGGCCATCTTCCGGGCAGTGCCGAGGTAGGGGTTGAGCTTGAGCACAGCAGCCATGTTCTTGAGAGGGTTCTTCCGCTTTTCCCTGCGCTTCACCTCCTTGTTGAGTGGCTTCACCACAGACTGCACCTCGTCATAGTTGATGATCCTGCCTGTGTCAGCGTTGGTCATCTTGGGCCTTGGCGTAACGAAGCCCTTCTTCTTTCGGGACGGGCGCGTCAAAGCTCCCATACACCTCCTCAAGCTTCTTGAACGCGCTCTCGGTCCAGATCACAAAGCGCCCGAGGTGGCCACGGGGCGAGGTCGAAAGCAGGTTGAGGCGCTCGACGTTGGCGACATCCACACCGGGAGGTTGCGGAAGGCCTTGATGACCTTGGAGCCCTTGGTGCCGTGAGGCGATGAGCGGGCCCTTGCGGTTAATGTAGCGGCGGTTGCGCATCTTCCCTTGCCGGGCGGATGGCGACGGAGTTCTTGGCCTTCTCGGCATCGGGCGTAGGGCGCCGATCCGCTTGAGGATCTTAAGCTCTGGGAGGTCTTCTAGATGGACTCGGCCGAGTCGAGAGATGACCCGGGGCATCTTGGGGACGTCTCGTCTGCGGTGGGTGCGCGCGCTGGACGAGGGTTGGGACGACGGTGGCGGCGGCGTGGAAGCAACGGCTACTGTGGCGGAGGTTGGTGGTGCCACTTGCGCCGAGATCTTGGTGGGCGTGAACATGTGGCGCCGCGCATGGCACATGTTGTCGAAGGCTCCTGGCCGGGCGTGGTGGGTGCCGCCGCCGGGGACGCTGGGGATACGGGACACTGCGCGGCCGGTACCCCAGACTCGGTGACGTCGGTGGTGGCTGGCCACGGGGGAGACCGCGTAGGGTGGCGCATGTAGCGGTGACAGCAGCTTGTGGGTGAAGCGGACCACGTCGGGCGGATCGGTGCCTCAAGGCGGGCGGTAGGGTGATGCCGGGGCGTCGATCACCATGTCGCCCTCGTGGCCTTCACGGAGACAAGGCGGTGAAGGCGACCATGGCAACGGCGGCGGCTAGGGGTGGGAGTGGGGTGCGACCGGCGACAGTGTGCACGGCTGGCGCGACCGGCGACGGGCGAGGGCGGGCGGGCTGGGGCGGCTGCGGGCGAGAGGGGCTCGGCTGCGGGCGATTCGCCAGCGAGGCGCTGTGTGAGGTAAACCTGGTGGGTTTGGGGGTGGCCGTGGGGAGCGGGCGTGGTGGGGCGTTTTTAGGTTTGGGCAGCAGGCAGGGGTTGGGCGGTGGGCTTTTAGTGCGCAATTTTCTTTATTTTTGAAAATCAACTTTGTCGAGTGCCCCTGGTCGGCACTTGCCGAGTGGCCCCGTGGCACTTTCTAAAAATAATTTTTTTTTTATTTTGGGCCCAAATTTTTTTGAGGGCCTTGACGATATTTCAAACTCTATTTTAAAATTTGGGGCAATTTTGACTTTTTTGATATATTTCATTAGTTTATTTCTTTTATGCCAATTTTTGGGATATTTCAAATTTGAACAATGGATACATGGAATAATGGACTTTGGTCATCAAAAATTGATACTCATGATATTTCTCAATTTTAGGCCGTCTCCAGGAACTCACATGAAAAATCGATGCTCGATGCATCTCGTTGGCGTAACATGTCGGTTCGCTTGAAATGTGATTTTAAATTATATAAAATCATATTTCCGATAGTCCGAAAATCACAAAACTTGTCGAGGTAGATGCTGAGATTTCATGTGAGCATGTGGACACTGTGGTAAAATACCCTAAATATCATGAGTATCAATTTTGGATGACCAAAGTCCATTATTCCATGTACCTACACATGGTTCAAATTTGAAATATCCCAAAAATTCATGAAACGAAATAAACTAATGAAATATATCAAAAAAGTCAAAATTGCTCCAAATTTTAAAATAGAGTTTGAATATCACAAGGCCCTAGAAAAAATTTGGGCCTAAAATAAAAAAAATTTGCCGAAAAGTGTCATGGGGGCACTTTCGGCAAAGTTGGTTTTCAAAATAAAAAAAAATTGCCGAAAGTGCTGGCCTACCGCTTTCGGCAAAATAAGTTTTAAAAAATTTTAAAAAAAAAATTGCCGAGTGCCCAAGGCTTACTCTCGGCAAAATATGTTTTTAAAAAAAATACCGAGTGCGTGGGTCTGGCTCTCGGCAAAATAAGTTTTAAAAAATAAAAAAACATTTGCTGAGTGCCATGGGCTGGCACTCGGCAAAATATATTTTTTTTAAAAAAAATTGCCGAGTGCCTGGGGCTGGCACTCGGCAAAATAAGTTTTTAAAAATAAAAAAAAAATTCCGAGTGCCAGCCGTTAGGCACTCGGCAAAATCTGATGGCAGGTGGTCGCCGTCATGGGCCGGCCACCTTTTGCCGAGTGGGATCTTTGCCGAGTGCCGCGGCACTCGGCAAAGCCCAGTTTTGCCGAGAGCCAGGCTTTACCGAGTGCCTGGCACTCGGTAAAGCCACGTTTGTCGAGTGCTTTATTTTGTCGAGTGCGGCACTCGGCAAAATATTGCTTTGCCGAGTGCCCCGATAAAAAGCACTCGGCAAAGTCTCAAGCACTCGGTAAAGTCTAGTTTTCCAGTGGTGGGAGAAGCCTTCCTTGATCTCATGCATGATAAAAGTTGTCTATGTATCTAGAAAAGATAAAACGACTTCCAAGTTAAAAAGGATGGCGTACTATACATTATTAGTAGCTCACTATATTGCGTATTCCCACAATTACATATTCTCAAAATTGTAACCAACAAGTTATTCCACACCATCACAAATAGAAGTATACATTTTTGTGCTTTAATATCTTATCGTTGCTGTATATGTAGGAGTTGCACAAATGTTGATGCACATCACGGCAGAACCGTTGCGAGAAAAAAAAACTTGATATACATAGCCTTCTTAAAACTTGTCCAACTCTCAAAAATAAAGTGCACGAGCACCTCAAAGCTATTGTCAATGTGCACCGTGGCACACATTTTATCATTGCTCCCCGTGCAATATCATCGTCAACTGACTACAAAGCACAGTTTTATCGGATTGCTTAGTTTCTGATGCAATCTCACTAGCAATTGATTATAAAGCCGTATTTTGTCGGCTATCGATGCCAGCTGATTATAAAATGGTTTTTATCAACTATCAGTAGCAGCTGATTATAAAGCGGTTTTTTGTCGGCTATCAGTGGCAACGGACTATAAAGCGTTTTTTGTTGGCTGTCAATGGCAGCTGATTATAAAGTGGCATTTTCTCGATTATCATTGACAGCAGACTTATAAAGTGGCATTTTATCGGCTATCGCTTGCAGCTCATTATAAAGGCATTTTGTCGGTTATCATTGTTGCAGCTGATTATAAAGTGTTTTTTTGCGGGCTTTATTGTTATTTATTGTTGTGTGTTATTTCCTAGTCATGAAGAACTTTATTACTATATATCGAATGTGTTTGCCCAATGTCCAATCTTTTATATAGAGCTGGGTTTTTTATTTTCGATACTAGCTACTTGATAAATAAAGAGATTGGTTATAGACCCATCAGCAGTGTTCATTCGTCATGTAAAAAAAAAGTTCCAGATCCTATCAATGGTTACTCCATACATACATGGTATTGAGATTATTGACATTATCATGGGCCGTTTGAAAATGGATCAATACTACAAGTAACATCTACAAGTTTGAAATTTTTTCTTACTACTGCTCCTCAACATACGCGTGAATGGCTCTCAGGCAAGGTTTGCCTTACCTTGCCTTCTTATTACTACTACTCAACATAAGCCTCGTAGCTTCTCAGTCAAGGTTTGCCTTACCTTGCCAATAGAGCTTGCCTTGCTTGCTCTGGTTTGAGAGAGCCCGATTGGCTCTCCTATGGCACAACAAGGAATTTTCTTGCTAGCACAAGCTTCAAGGCAAGCTATCCTACCAACCAAACAGCCATGGCTTTTCATTTCCTAGCTAGGCAAGGCCAGGTGAAAATGTGCATGGA